GGAGCTCCAGCACCGCCCGATCCACCTCTGCTGCTGACGGCAGGGCCTGGGAGCCGCCGGCACCCAGGGAGAAACCTCCGTACCTGGGGGAGAAACAGGGCTCCAAACCTGCCCGAGACCCCACTGCCAGCTGGGCTCCAGGATCCCGTGGGTCCTTTCCAGCCCAGGAGATTCTACAGTTCCATCATTCTATCAAACCTGCCACCCATCTCCCACTGCCATCCCTGCCCAGACTCAACCCTCCACCCACCCAGGCGCCATGGTGAGGGGCACAAGGCAGAGGGCTGAGGCTGGATGGGTGTCAGCTCTGCCCAGCCACCACTCAGGCTCTCCCCAACCCCAACGGGCATCTCCTGCCTCACCCTGGCTCAGATGTGCCAGCCCCCAGCCCCTGCCCAGCTCACCTCTGCTCGTTCACCCACTTCTTGTTCCTCAGCCTGAAAGAAATGGGGTGGGAGGGACAGGGGGGACAGAAACCCCCCGAGGGGATGTGAGGGCAGCGCCTGCTCAGCTGGCCACACTCCCATCACTGTCCCCTTCCCCCGTGCTTTGGTCCACAGTGTCCCTCCCTGCTGCCACGGCAGTGGCACCCTGTGCCAACGCCCTGCCACCTTCCCCAGGTGTCCCTGGGGTGGTCCCTTCGTGTCCCCACAGTGTTCCTGCAGTGTCCCTGGGTGTTCCAGCCCCAGCACTCACTCCTGCCGGATGATCTGGGGGTAGGTCTTCACCAGGTAGTCAGAGATGTTCCTGCCCGTCAGGTTCTGCAGGATGTCCCCTGTGCCCCTCTGCACCTGGGGGATGGACAGACGGGCTGGATGGACACTCGGCCCCGTGGCCTCCCTGGAGCATTGCCTGCCCCTGCAGCCAGCAGTGCTGGAGCCCTGGGGCTGCCCCCGCCGGGCAGGGGTTACCTGGGGCGGAGGGAGCCCCCCGGCCCCCTCGGGACACTCGGGCAGCATCCTGTGTGCCCCCGGGCCACTGCACTGGCACGGCGGGGACGGCTCAGCCTGTGTCCAGTTCCGGCGCCACAGCGCGTCCAGCAGGGACGGGGGGGCTGAGGGGGCCGAGAAGCCATCGGGGTGGGAAGCTGGTGGGCACAGCCCCGTCCTGGGCAGCCGGGGAGAGAAACCTTCTGTTACCAGCCTGGTGTGAGCCAGAGGCATCGGGACCCACCACGGGGATGGTTGGGGGTCCCATGGCATCGCACCGGCCGGCAGGGCTGCTCCGAGGGGGTCGGGCACCGAGGGGGGGTCAAGCCTGGCTGTCCCCTCCAGCCCCCATCCCGCGGACACTCACGTCTGCCCCGCCTCCTTCATGCACTTGGTGCCGAAGCCGGGCTCGGCCAGGAGCGCGTCCAGCAGCCGGGCGGTGTCGGGGTCCCCCGGGGCGTCGTTGCTGGCAGGAGACAAAGGAGTGAGCTGGTGGCAGTGGGGATGGGGGCCACGGGGGGCAGCAGGCTGGGAACACACCTGAAGAAGGTGAACTGCTGCCCGTACATCCAGGGCTGGAGCTGCAGCGGCGGG